TTTTTTAAAGTTTCGAATACTTTACTATGCGTAAAAACAGCGTTTTTCAAGATGGCTGACGATTGTAAAAATCGCGCCAACAATTGCGCCAACGTAAATCGCGAAAAATTCGTGCAACCGTCTACCAAAGTAGCACCTTTTTCGCGATTACAATACTTCCTTTTTGCTTCGTACAAGGAAGTAAAAATGCATCACAAATAACAAAAATCTGATGTGTACACCACATGACTTCCTTGTACGGAATATTAAATTATACGCATTTTTTCTTGCATTTCATTTAAATTATTGGATTGAATTAATCTACTTCGCCGACAGCGCATAAACCACAATAGAATAAATGCATTCTTTAAAATTCACTCTAGTATTTGTTTACCATAGCGACACTCTGGCGCTAGATTCACTTAACAGTATTATATTTCGTTCATATTATAATTCATAATGCACAAAATTTATATCATTTAAAGAATAGCATTATCGGTACTTAAGTATTATCGCAACCAGGTTGGCGCTATTTGTAAGTTTGAGTAAAAAAGTATGAATAGAAAGAAAATGTACATTTATTAATTACAGATAATTTTTAGTACAGTTTTTTATATTATTTTGTTTTAAAATATAAAATAGCAATTAAACCTTTCTGGTTTCGAATTTGAATAAGTTGCAGAATTATTTTTTCGGCGGAAATCTTTTGACTATTACCTTTAGCACTGATTGAAAACCGTATTCGCCATAACCATGTACACGTCGACTTATTTTTACTTAAAAAAACATCCCAGAATTGCACAAAAATGGCATTGCGCACACTCTTGACTTTATCCATGTACACTGCTATTTTCTCATAAATTACAAAAATTTGCACGAAAATGCAGGAAAATTTTGTGAATCTCCACATACTCTTTTTACAAAACTACGTATAACACGTACGGTTGCCGTAAGTAGGGTCGCCAAATTTCACAATTTATGCGAATTTTGGCCTGGTTGCGTTAATACGTAAGTACCGAATTATCTAATCGTTGCCACATGTTCTATTCAAATACTATAATGAAGCCAGAATGATGTATAAAAGAAATTAAGCAAACAAAACAAAAAAGAAACAGTTTTTCACAGAGGATTGAGTATTTCTCATTCAATTAATTCAGTTCTCACTTCGCGAGAAGGCAAAAATACATAAAAACTCAAAATATCTATATTAAAAATTACGAAGTAAATCTTATTTCCTCGAAAAAATTCTAGAAAGGATTAAGCATAATTTAAATAATAAATGAAGACGTTATCTTTGTTGTTGCTAAGCTAAGTTTCTCTAGATTGGCAACAAATCCGCTATCCTGCTGTTTCAAATGTAAACAAGAGCAATCGCCGCCATCAAAAACATTATTAGGCTTAGCGGCGCTAAAACAATTTTAAAATTGTTGATAATTCTAAAAATATTGCATACTGATTTACTAAAGGCATAAAAACCTTAACCGGAAGATAAGAACAACATAATTCAATCATTTTTTAAAGCAAAAAATATACAATTTACAAACATATAAGAGTAAAGAAACTGAGATCACTGAGCCGGGCAACAGAGTGGATATATATATAAATATATTTATATACGTTTGGCGCGGCTGATTGAAACCAAAATACGAGGTGCACATCTACATGTTATAGTAGTCTTATATACAAATTTCAACGTTCTGAGGCTACTCGTTTTTGAGTTATGCGAGATACGTACGTACGCACATACCGTTCGTACAGAAGCCACGAAAAATTCTCTTCAGAATTCATTTTAAAGCAGTTTTTAGTTTTTTTGGAGGAAAAGAGTCTTTTACTCTGTCCTTACGTACAGATATCACGCAAAAACATCGTTAAATTGCATTCGAAAGCGGTCAAAGTGGATATTTTCGTTGAAATATGCTGCCTGAAGCTTTTCGGGATTATAATACTTTCTTTTTACTTCGTACAAGGAAGTAAAAAGAAAAAGTATAGCGCAAACAGTATATAATAGGAAATTAAGAAGAACCTCTTGCCATCATAAAGCACATTTCGACATCAAAAATAATTGCATCAACACTGCCATACTCAATAACGAAACTGCCCGGATTTTCCACAAGTTCAATTTCGATGTCATGTCCTCATTTATTAGTAAAATTTGTAGATTACTTTAAAGATTTATAAAATTCTTGATCCCATTTTTGACTTTATTTCTTGCTGAATTTTGGCCTATCATGTCAGTTTGTTTTGACATACATCCCCAAACTGAAAGAGCGTTGAAATTTCCCATCAGGAAACATGAATCGTATGTTTGGAAGGAGAAATAAATAAATTTTCGACAGCTAATCACAATTGAAAACTTAACCATAATTTTGGTTTTCGATCTACGAAAATTATCTGTAGAGCTTTTTCAAATAATAAACTGGATTTCTTTTAACTCTTTCACACCAACAATATTTTTTTTAGTTAATGACAGTTAATGATATTAAATTTTTACTGCTTTCAAAAGTTTAATATCTTAGCTTTTTAGAGTTTCATTATTTTTTCCCTCGACAGATCACGTTACATTTCGTTTCGCTAGACTTTTCAACATAATATCGTTTCGCTCCTATGTCCGATTGTTATCGAAATTGATTTCAAAATCTTTGCCATAATAAGGTTACTTTTTATCTAGTTTTAGAATTTATGGTCTCTTTAGCATAAAGAAAAGACAAAAATGTAGCAGTTGTCCATAAACCTTCTCGTTGTATAACCCCGAAAACAGTCTTTTATCAGGCAAATATGAACAAATTTTACTAAAAATGATGTCGTATGTTTTTGGTTTACTTGAATGCGCCGTCAGCTAAACGTGCTGTCGGCTAAATGTGTTGTCTGTTTCAACGTGCTGTCGGCTAAATGTGTTGTCTGTTTCAACGTGCTGTCGGTTAAATGTGTTGTCTGTTTCAACGTGCTGTCGGTTAAATGTCCGTGCCGGCAAAATGTCCCTGTCGGCTAAATGTCCTTTCGGCTAAGTGGTTGTCGGCTTAGTGTCACGGACTGGCAAAAATGCATCACATTTTGATAATCATGACGTCACTAATCACTATATTACTTAGATACTTTCGCAAATTATTTTACTTTATTTAAAAAAAAAAAAACCATACCTCGTATGCAGTGAACGAAGTAAGTTTTGCACTACTGATGATTCTAAATAAAACAAGCACAGATGGCAATTAAAAGACTGTATACTCGTACTTATGAGTGATTGAATCTATATCCACTGTAGTTTTGGCTGCAGTTTTTCAGCAATCATATAGAACCCACATATTGGATATAAGGTACATACGAAATACAGATCACATACAAATCTTCATGGGGCACACACTAAGATCATTATGTCACATATACACGCAGATTTTACTACGAGTGAAGTAAACTTAGAACTTAGCCTCCGATTTAGCGACGGCCGCATTATAGCACCTTTCTTACCGTTCAATATTCTACGTTAATTTATACAACTCAAGAGATTCAGGACGAAAATTTTTCAAAAATTACCGGTTAAAAATTAAATTTTTTAATAGTTTTTTAACCATTAACTAAGACATGTTTATTTTGAATTAAAAAAAAATAACACAGAGAAAGTTTGCATTCATCTTTTTAAATGAAAATATGAAATTTCTGTAAAAATACTTTACAAATAAATTTAAAACATGAATAATCTATAAATGTTTCAATTATGAACGGGGAATGAAAATATACAGTTTAGAATGAAGAATCATCTATATATTAGTCACAGAATAAATAGTTGGCAAAACATGAGAAAGGCGAGTTCTGCTGATTACGAAATAACGATGTCGCAGTCTAAACAAGAGTAATAGTCATGCATCAATCATGAGTTAGTCATGTGGATTACAGTTCAGCGGTCTTTCTTCAGACTATTCCAGCTTATTGCTGATTTCTGGTAAATGTGAAATTTTTATCTGCACCGAAAAAAAGTGCAAGGCTTAACAAGATAAACTAGTATAACATTTGAAATCTCAAAAAATTACCGAATTTAAAAATACATAAGATGTAAAGTAATCTCTAATTGTGTTAAAAAAAATTCTTATTTATTACAGCAGAAAATAATATAAAAATTAAGTTTAATATGCAGCGCATGAACAGAACAGAAAATTTAAAAGCAAATAAATCATTTTTTTGTTCCGTTTTCCATAATAATATTAGTAGTATAATGCATAATGAACGAATAACGAATTCTGTTCGTTATTCGAACAAAGAGTTAACGAATAGGTTAACGAATTCTTTTTTAACCCAACATTAAAGCGTGCCATTACACTCGGCGCACATCAGCATAAGATAATTACCTTATTCGACTCTTTCACGATTCAAAATAATCAAATGAACTGCAAAATTGAGTTCTGACATATTGTTATTACAAATAGTTATCAATACAAATTATGGACATGGAAGAAAAAGTAAAGCTTAATTTTTTAAGCAGTTAGCTTCCTCTTTTTAAATGTCGGAGAGAGAAAATACTATATCAACTATTCGCTTACTCTGATTAAGAGATAAGGTATCAAGTTCCTTAAATTTTAAATTGAGCAAAATTCAGACATATTCTTTAAGAAATGCATATGAAAGCTCAGAGCTAACACTTTCGACAATAACAATTATAACAAATTTTATAAAACAAAAATTGCTGCAAGAAGGATGAGAGTAATTTTGTAAAAGCTCATTACAAAATGGTCTCGTTTATTCTTCAAAAGTGCGGTACGTAAATTACGAAACCACATATGAAAAAATTCCAGACGGAAATAACATCAGAAAATTTGAAGTAAAAATACGAAACAAATTTTTCCATGATCATAATCTATCTTTCACCAAGCTGTTACAGAAATAAATTACTGTTAATAGAAAAGCCTTCATTATACATTATATTACTTACAAAATCTGACATCTCAATTTATTTTCAGATCAAAACCACATCTCACAAAGGGGAAAAAAAAGAGAGAGAGAAGGGCAATATCATATTTAAAAAAGAATACTACCTTTTGTTCTTTTCTTGTCCTGGGTAATGTGAAGGCAAATGACATATTTTCCTTATTTTTTCAAGGACGATTGTTTTTCGATGATGAATGAGAGTATTTTCGATTACAAAATACATCCGAAAGAAATAAACATTCTCGCTCCGGGAGTTACTTGGCACCACGCCAAAAAAACCATCATCAAAGAACAGAGCTGCTAGATTGCCTCTCAAAGCACTATTTCCGTTAGTTGTCTATATCATTAATATTTCGCATAGTGGTATTGTAAAGGCTATGGTGATTTGCAAACCGAAACTCATTTTTACGTTATTAACACACCTGCCAGACAGATTTCATATGCAAATAAGTAAAACATGACACACTGAACATATCGAAAATATTTTATACTGGAAGAAATTCTGTCAGAGCAGCGGCGTGACTAGCACTCACTGATTACACGTCTGAGGATAAATACAAAGGAAACCAGGGAATGAATCACAAGTGAGCCGCCAAACCGCATAACTTTGGTACGAAAGACCTTTGAACTGCAAACTTGGCGACAGTTTTCAGCACGTGATATGATTACCAGCAGTCATTCAATAAACTTGAGTACCAACTTTACATTATTCAATTCTAGCCTGACATACAAAAACACTGTAAGTTCTCTCTTGCTCCAGGACGAATCACACCCTCTCCTCTCTTTTCCCTACCTACCCTTTTCTTAAATCCACAAAACCGGTTGGAGAATTAAAAAAAAAAAAAAAAATTGGAGACATGTCAGATAGGGAGGCTATGTTGAAAAAATTAGATGTGGATATCTAAGCTGCGTTTAGGTGGTAGAAAAGGGAGGAAGAGCAACAAAAATGGAAGATAAATTAAAAAAAAAAAAAAGATGGCAGGCGTGGTCAGGGCACGGACTGAACGAGACATAATTGCAGTATACTGCCTACATTATGATTTGCTTCTTGACATAAGCTTGCAATCCAGAAAATAATGCTAGCCGAAAGGCATGAGAAAATCTCTGGCAGTATTCTCTCTCATCACACTAAGTATGGTCTCACACAGATTCAGAAAGGCAAATAGCAATTAAATAAAACATAAAACATTTACCCTATTAGCAAATGCATAAAAAATAATTATAACATCAAATAAAAGCAAGAAATACTCAGAAAATGTGTTCTTGAGTATTTTTTCCAGTTTCCCTTTAAATTCACTACAATGCTTAATTTAATATTTTGAAAGAATTATAACATTATGTATTTACAAACAACATAAATAGATTTTTCATCGGCTAAATGATTAATTACTTTAATGGGAAATTAAGCTGCTTTCTAGTTATTTGTAAATAATACACACATAAAATAATTTTTGTTGAAGACCTATCTATAAAAAAATTAAATTTAGAATTCTACAAATATTTTAAAGTTTGTTATATGAAATGCCTAGAAATGTTATAAAATTTTTACTTTCAAATACATATCTCAAAGTACACAATTAGAAAATCAAATTAAAAGCAGATATTCAAATCAGTAGATGTATGCTTTAGGTATTTAAGATGTGTAATTTACATTATTTATTTTAACAACAGTTTAGTAGTCATAATAAGCAAACAATGTAATTACAAACTCAACAATAGTAGCACCTTAATTCTAGATATAATTCCCAGATAAATCACAAAATACTCATATATTTAAATATCAGAATTTACATAACTTATGCTCTGTTTCTTTTTTTACATTATTCAGATCATATAAACAAAAACAGATTAAAATTTTAAAAGTTATATCATAATTTATGTATCTTATAAAATGGAATCTCTACATTTAATAGCCAGAAATAATACTGAATCATATTAATATTTAAAATGTCAATCATCTGAATTATTATATCTATCATATTTTTAAGGTACTCTATCATCATGTTATCAGGAGCAGATTCAGAAATGTACGGATGGATGTGGGTATATGTGTATGTGTATACGCACACATACATTCATATGTATATATATATATGCATGCATGCATACATGAACCCATACATACATATATATATACTCACATTTCTGAATCTGCTCCTCACAACAGAACAGTACCGTTTTTAACATAATTAAATGAGTTATTTAAAAATCATGTTACATGTAAAACATATAAATATTTAAATAATAAACCTGGTCATATTATCTGTGTCATTTCAACATTTTTGAGTAGGTACTTTTCAGATATTTTGCAGTATTTATTCTTCTAGACTTGAAAAATAATTCGAATTTGCTTTACTTTTTATTTTAATAACCTACAGAACATATGTATAATTTCTAGATCATTAAAAAAGCCTAATATAATAAACCATTATGTAGAAGACGGTGACTTATAGCAAAAAGGAATCTTTTGGCTAATACAAACGATCATATCATGAAGACAAAAACTTCTAGCACAAAATTCATAATAAAATTATTCTGCATTCTTTAAAAACTTTCATAAAATTGTTTTTTAAAAGCTTTATTCCTTAAAAACTAAGAATCTGAATGAATGTTACTTTAAATCTAAATACAATAAAATTTATTAATTATAAGAAACTTACGCATGCATTAGTTTGACCTAACATTCTGAACTACAATTCAGGTTTCATGATTTCCAATGCAAAATTCAATGGCATGATCTGTAACGATATTTAACATTAATATACAAAACATACACATAAAAGCTTAAATAATTAAAATACAGAGCTTTTAAAATAAAAAATTAAACCATGTATAACATAAGGTAAAAATTATTAATATGTAAATACATATGAATATGTTTACATGAATAGCTCTTTCTTAGTGCGCCCACCAGCGGCCGAGCGGTAAAGTCGCTGAACACTGGTAGTTCGGTCCGAGGTTCGAATCCCGCGAACGGGCTGGTTGCATGGGTGTTTTCGTGGTTTTCCCCATGTGTAACGTGTATACGAGCCAGTTTCCCTTAGAAAGTCCTCCACGAAAGGCATCCCTCCTCTTAGGCAGATAGCCCTTGTGTGCTTTGCCATAATTAAATACACCACACCACCTTTCTTAGTGCAGAAAATTGACTAAGATAGGAATTTTTTTAAAAGCAATTTAAGAAAAACTTCTTTACTATCAAAATTGCAAATAAAAAAAAAAAAGGTTTGAAGGCAAACATATATATATATACAAACATGATTAACACGTACGATATGGAAAATCATAAAGTTAAAAAAAATTGACATTTAACTGACTACGGCTTCTGTCTGAGCATTCTCCTCAATACAACATAAACAACATAGCTCATGTTTAATCAGATGAATCGGGCACTCGCTAAGGAATATTAATGACAAAAATACAACATCGTATGATAGTGATCGCTACATAATCACGATACATTCCCGCGACGGAGCGGCTCTAACGCAAAATGACATTCATAAAATGTTTACCAAGCTCGCAAAATAGAAATCTGATCTTAGAATTAAGGATTTATTTCAATTATGTAATTACAAGTACTCACCAGAAGTAGTACGGCCAAATATAGTCTACATTCACATTTGATTGGAATCATAAATTTCTAATACAATTTTGCACATAAACACATCTGACCACCCCTTACCGATCAAGAGGAGACTAGTCTGCTGAGATGAAAACATCCGACCCGCCATCTACAGGGCATTAATGATACTAATATTTTTTAATTTTATTTTCCCGCCAATTTTTTACTTCTTTTTTCATAAATAAACTTGTGGTACAAAAATTATCTATAAATGAAATGTAATTGTTATATTGAACAGCATGAAAATAGTTATCTCAATGAAGGTGAAATTAACTATGGCTGCTATTAATACTCAAAACATTTCTTCTGCATGTAACATAGAAAGTGCATAAGATTGAATGACATAAATACTGAAATAAGAAGTTAGCATTAAAAGGCTATTTTATTTATTATCATGGTAAATTTTCTCCATGCAATCAAGCTTAATATTTAATTTAAGAGAAAATATTAGCATTTAGCTGTAAAATATTGCAGCCAGCGCCCTCTGTAATTCGTGAGTAAACAAAAGAGCGTGTGTGGGGAACATGAATATGAGATGTATCGGAAAGTTTCAAATTCCCTTTAAAATCACAAAAATTAACATTCATCTGCAGACGAAACACTTTCACGTATAATTACACCTTTGCACTGTGTTGTGTAACGTAATTTTAAAAATTATGTAATTGCTGTTTCCGAATTTAAACGTACGTAATGAGTTTCCGCCCGAAATTTCTGAAACCAGGTAATGAATGGTTACATTTAGATGTATCTTCATTAACTAATATTGAAGTCTTTAAATTCAATCATTATATCTGTATTCTAGAGTGTTTTTGTGATGTTTCTTCGCGATAAGTTTTGTTGTGAGAATTTATCAATTAAAAATTAGTATGGTATGAAATTAGTACAGTAATTTCAGTCATACTTCCTTAAGATTTATATTCATCAGTTTTGCTAAAACATTTTTCAAATAAGTATATAACCTCTGTTTGGTAAAATTCGTTTCAGAATAGTTTTGATTTTTTAAACTGGTAGTATAATTAAACATGAAGTAATCAATGTATAGCAATCGTAACAGTTTCTTAATTTGATAACATGTTAAGTGCCTCCATGCTGCAAACACATCATGCACTGAAGACGTCCAGGTCTTGTCAAAGTTTGATTTTGGTCCAAACAATATGACAAACAGCAGTATTAACCATTGTACTGATAATGGTGGCTTATAATAATATTGAAACCTTTGTTCACAAACAGATTATCTGAACAACAAATGCCTCGAATGACGAATGATATCTTGAATTACAAATACTCGAGTGAACAACATATGATTTTCAAAGGTAACCTATGGCATTAACATTTGGAACAATAATTGACATCATTTTAATATTTTCCACTGCTCATTAACAAAGTCTGTTAGCAAGTAAATTAAAAGACCACAAATTCTGCCTGGAGGAAATTATAATCACATAGATTTGCAGTTGGAAACTTTGAACACTTTGACCCTTGAGATTGACACCATATTTTTTTTTATTATTATCTTTGATAGTGTATATGTAGGCAAAATAGTGGACTGGAATCTTAACAAGTGAAGCCATGAGAAATTACTGGAGAACTGGAAAAAGAATCTCAACATGAAAGGACTACTACTACTTCAGAAGTGGCAACAAAGGACCATTTTGAGAGGAAATATCTGCAGAAGAGAAAGAAAGAAAAACAACTCTGGTTCTCTAATGTATGAAATTTATGCTAAGTGGGAAAGATGTAGCATATTGCATGAAGATTTCACCATGATAAAGCAGTAGAAAGCTACGGCATAAGCATTTTCTGTGGTAGTTCCATGTCTCACTTTAGAAACATTTTGAAACATAGGGCAAAATTTGAGTGAAACTTAGGACCATTGATTCAAGCAGAATTGTGTAACACTTAGAGATAAAAAAATAATAAAAGATGCCCTAAGACAGTAGGAGGTAGGAAACGGAGGAAAGGTCCGAACTTTTTTTTTTTTACATTTATTCCCATGAAGCAATGAAACACCCCTCTTGTTGACCAAAATACTCAGTTACTTGCCATTGAGAATAGTAGGTTTTTGCATGGTCAGAGGAAAGCATTTTGTAATTACATAGTAAATGTATATATTTTCTTTCTCTACAATATTTCAGAGTCCTAAGTTTGTGAAAGAATATATTTCTTAGCAATATTTTATTCTTAATGGAATTAAATGCATGAAATGTTTTCACAAGTATCCATTAATTACATTAGAAAGAAATTTTAATTCAGTTTTATTCAATTAACAATTAAAAACATTAAAATCGAAGTTCATTGTATTATTCGGTAAAAGTATATTTATGGGTACCCCTTGGCGATTTTTGGTGTTACATGGATACCAAGTTTGTGCAGTTCTTCAACTTGTTATTTTGGCTTTGTGTAGTGGTGATTTTTGGTGGAAAAATCGCCGCTACACAAGCCAAAATAACAAGTCAAAGAACTGCACAAGCTCAGTATCCATGTACACATTGACCTATTTTCACTTAATAAAAATATCCCAGAAATACATAAACTTGCATTGTGCGCTCCCTTTATCCATGTATACTTTGACTTATTTTCACTTAACATCAGAGAATTGCACAAACTTAGCAATGTGCACACTCTTCAATTTGTCCATGTACACATTGCTATAGTTTTACTTAAAAAGTCAAAGGAGCACCCACTTCTACAGTAGAGACAAACAAAAAATACATAATCTCAAAAAACTACATTTTAAACCAAACAATAAAATAACATAAAAAAGGAAAAAAACCTCTTGTGCATTTAAGCACTACGCAAAGCAAATATCCACTTACTTTATTTAGAAATTTCTTCGTCATCAGTCTATGGCACACAAAATTCCTTAACAGCATCCAAAAACTTCCTAAAATTATCTAAACTCGAATCCGTATATCGGTGTTGTCACATAAATTAAAAAAAAATTAGAGTAAAAAATATCCTCCGTAGTTCCAGACTGTCCGGAAAATGGCTACTAAGTAAACCTTCATTTACACACCAGTCAGTTAATGCTCTTTTCCCCTTTTGTTCCAATTCGTACAGAAACTTCAAATTAATCTTACTACATCCATCCATTCTACCGTTTAAACAATAAAACAAGCAAAGTACTTCTTAACCAACACATACCACAAAAGCTTTTACAAAACATCCCATGATTCAAAATTTCCCAGAATAATGCAAACCACTTACATCATAATAGGGTTTCCATAACATTTAACTACTCAGGTTACCATAAATGAAACAACTTCACGATAATACAAGGAGTACCCTCAAGTCAACTCTAACCTATTTTTCATATTAACATGTTTTTTTTTTTTTTTTTTTTTTTTTTTTTTTTTCTATTTACAGAGCTTGTTTATGAAATACTTTCTCAAATATGAGATGATTTTCAGCTTCTGAGGCATTTTTTACAAAATTCATAGTCACTCTGTAATTAATGCTGTGTTTGGTTCATTTGTAAATTACTACACCTTTTATTTTAATAGTGAAATACGTTAAATATTGCTGCTGGTTTCTTATTTCCATGTACTAAACTTTGCATGACTACTAAGAATTCTGCTTTATTAATTCCTGAAGTATACATCTCGTAAACTGGTTTACAATAATTTGGCTAATCTTTGGAAAATGGTAACAGGTAGTGTGGCGACATTTTGGTAAGGAGATAAAGGTTACTAGCTAGGACTTTAGCAGTGTACATGGATAAAGTCGAGTGTGCGCAATGCCATTTTTGTGCAATTCTGGGATGTTTTTTTAAGTGAAAATAGGTCGACGTGTTCATGGATGACGTGTATGTGCAATTCTTAAAAACGCGGCAAGCAGTTTGCGGTTCTGATTTCTCGCAATTTTGCACCTAATCTTCGTCATGATTAAGCACTTTTGTTCCATAAAAGTTCTAGCATAAGCATAATTCGGCTAGCAGATTGTTGGAAAAAAATGTTGGCTAATCTTTGGAATATGGTAACAGGTAGTTTGGCGACATTTTGGTAGGCGATAAAGGTTACTACCTAGGACTTTGGGAATAATGTGAGAAGTACTCAGCTCCAATTACGCATTATTTTGTGTGAGGGAAATGAGAGATCATGAGATATGTCATGTGTCATTTATGGACGAATCACAGTTCTTTAATCGGAAAAGGGGGGAAATCTGGAAAAATATCTGCAGTACTTTATAGCATTTTGTATTTAGCTCCATTCTGTGTTGTGTGGAACAGTGTTAAATAATTTTTGAATCCCACGGTAAAGTGACTTCGAAATGGGTATTTAGTGGGATTGAAAGGGGTAGTAATAAGTGTTTTTTTAAGGTTGTGCGAGATAGAAGTAAAGATTGCTTATTAAGTTTTATTAAGCAGTATATTCTACCTGGTACAATAATCATATCTGATTGCTGGAAGTCATATGCATGTTTGGAGGATGAAGGTTTTCAACATCTTGCTGTGAACCAAAAGTATCATTTTAAAGATCCTGAAACAGGCACACATACGAATACAATAGAGGGCACGTGGAGTGCTATAAAAAGCGCCATTCCAAAGCATTATCGTAAAGAGAATTTTGCTTTTTATTTAGTGGAGGAAGTATGGCAGAAAATTTCGCAGAAAAAATCATTCAATAATTTTATTGAATCTATAAGAAAAGTTTATCCGCCACATAATCAAGATTCTGAAGAAGATTAGGTAAGTTAGTATTTTTAATTATTTGAGGATATTTTTTTTATGCATTGTTCTAAATGTAAGGAGTAAATAAATTAATATGGTATTATTGGAAAATTGTTATTAGCAATGATTTAGTTTAAAGTAATTAGGATTGTAAGCTAATTTTTATTAATTTAACATATGTGCTTATTTATATTTTAAGTAGTGTTTTTTTAATTTAATTATATTTTAATTTAATGATCTTGATTTTGCGAGTTATATGTTTGTAGTATTTTGGAATATGTTTGAGTAGAAGTAAATGTGCATGGAAATAATTTAAATATTTGACACTAAGTATTTGCAACCATTTTTAATGTTTGCGTTATAAATTCGTTGGTGACGTTTAGAATAGATAATTTAGAGGTAAAAGTTTTTGGATATTTTATACGTGGAAATGTTCATCCTTGGAAAAGGTATTTACTTTTTCGCGATCAGGTAATTTCATATACAGTCCAAAGTCGTTAATCCGGACTCGTTGGGACTTCGGCGATTCCGGATTATCGATTTTTCCGGATTATCGATCATCAGTTTAAATCGCGTAAGATGGCATGCAGAAATTCTAAAATTAAAAATATGAAACCATAATTTATGAAATGAAGAATAATTATGATCTAAAGGGTATCAAAATTTACCCAAAAAAAAAAAAAAAAAAAGCTTAATATTTATTTGTTTACTTTATTAAACATTTCTTTCAATGCAAGTTGTTTAAGTTGCTTCGTTTTATGTGATAATACTTTCTCTTTAATTCTATAAACAGACTATAAACAGACATAATTTCTTGTTCAGTTACAAAGTTCCGCTGTTCAAGTCCCGTTAATTGCTGTGCCGAGAATGCCGACTAACTTGTCAATCGAAATTTTTTCGTTTTCACTAACCTCTCTGTCACATTCTTCATGTCTTTATCCATTTTTTGCAGCAATTCCACTTTTTGTTTGTTGGACATCGAAACATAATTTTGTTTTGTAGATCCTTTGGAAGTTCCAGCATCGGAAATTCTATTTGACATAATCGAAAGT